GGCCTGGGCTGGTGGGAGGTGTCCTTGCCCAGGGCAGGGGTGGGATGGGATGAGCTTTAAGGTCTCTTCCAACCCAAACCTTTCTGTTAAAAACACGTGTGGTTCCCATTGCTTATGGAAAGGGAAAATATTCTAAGTGATGCTGATTTCACAGAGTCACAGAAGGTTTGGGTTGGAGAGACCTCAAAGCCCATTTAGTGCCATGGGCAGGGACACCTTCCACTAGCCCAGGTTGCTTCAAGCCCTTTTTTTCCTGGAAGTTTTCATCTGTCTTGGTGACCTTCCAGTTGTTATCGTATGGGACTGAAGCCTCTCTTTAAGGCTGGATTTATTACTCTGAGCTAGGCCTCTTGCCTTATGTGTTTTAGAATAACTTAGACTTATTTTTCCTGCAGATTCTAGAAAACATTTGCTGGTTTTATTGCATTTTAGCTGCTGTTAGTTCCAGGTAATGATGGTTGGTTGTTAACTTAGACTTCTGTTAGATTTCTGAGAGTCATGAAAACAAAGCTCCTTTAGGTGACCATTATGATCTCATTAACGCCTCAAAAGAATGAGAAATCAGATATTTTAGGCAGGTTCTGTAGGTTTATTAATGTAAACTGCTTTTGGGGCAGTTTTTCTCTAAGTAGTCATGTTTAACTTTTGTCTCCTTTCACTGTTTGCAGCTCACATTGGTCCTCCAGGGATAGAGTTGAAGTCCACAAATGGAGTCATAAAGATTAAGGTTTATCCTCCAGAAGCAAATCAAGGCCACAAAATGTGGATAGATGATCTGAGTTTTAGATATAACCTAGTTTTCTGGGTCAATTCATCAACTGTTCAGGTATGATCACTTTTGTGTGTGTTTACGCTTAACAGAAGTGTCAGAGATGAATTTTAGTACATGCTTGAAAATGGAGTTGTTTGATTCCCTAATTGTCTGACTGTTCCTATCTGTTTCAAAGTTAGGGGATGTGTTTTCCTGGGTTGGTTTGTTTCTCTGTTGTTGTGTTTTCTTGGGCGGGGGGGGTTGGTTTTGGTTTTACTCTAGGATTGTTTTAGGCACCTTGTGCCAAGAGTTTCTGTTAAATGCTGGAGCCACTTCCCAGTAGGAAGAAGGTGAAACCAACTCAGGTGTGTTTGGCACAGAGGTCACTCTCAGCCAGCAGGAGAAGGAAGTAGATGGAATTCAAAGGCAGTGGGAAGAAGCATTTACAGCGAGGGAGACATATGAGGGAGGGGAGAGAGAAGAGTCTGACTTGGTTTTGCTGAGACTGTGTGACCTCATTGCAGCTGTCAGTGCCCTGCCCTGGGTCAGGGACTGGAGAGCACAGAATCCTGGACTGGTTTGAGTTGAAAGGACCTTAAAGCTCATCCAGTTCCAACCAGAGACACCTCCCACCAGCCCAGGCTGCTCCAAAGGGAAGTCTAGGTTAGATGTGAAGAAAACGTTTTTACATGTGCGGGTGGTGAGACACTGGTCCAGGTTGCCACATGTGCAGGTGGTGAGACACTGGTCCAGGTTGCCCAGGGAGGCTGTGGCTGCCCCAAACCTGTCAGTGTTCACAGCCAGATTGGCTGAAGCCTTGAGCAACCTGCTCTGGTGGAAGGTGTCCCTGCCCAGGGCAGGGGTTGGGGCTGGGTGATCTCTAAGCTCCATTCCAACCCTTAAATTCTATGATTCTGTGATTCTTCCAGCTGAGGAGAAGTATTTTCCCCATCGACACCATCGATGGCCTTGCACCAGACACGACTTACTGCTTGAAGGTGCAAGCAAACCTTCCTTTGGAGTCCAAAGAAGGTCTGTTCAGTCCCATTCGCTGCGTGAAAACCACCCACAAAGGTACACAGCAAAATCCATTGGGCTGCAGGTGGTGACAGCTCAAACTGGGAATCAGTCCCTGGGGAGGGAATTGTTGGGAGGCAACAGAAATCAAGTGCCAAGTTCCTTCTCATTCTGCTGTGGCAGTACACATGTAAAACATGTCAGTGATATCCATTTACTTGGCTCAATCAGCGCCAAACTCGTCAATATTAGAGTTTTGACTGTACAAAAAGGTTGTTGCCATGAGAGAAATTTCAATCTAGAATGCAAAACCCACTTGGTTTTGGCAAACTCTCTGTTTTTTCGTGACTGGCTGTGAGTCAGGAGGAGTAAAATGTGAAATACCACATGTGGGTTCTGCTAAAACATCAAATGAGATGTATATTTTGAGAGAACATTAAAACAACACACCTTGGTTTGGATGAGATGGTACAGTGGTTAATGCATGTGGTTTTAGATAAAATGTGTGTGTTTTGCTACAACATTAACACATTTTAGTGAACTACTGAATAATACATGTATGTCTTAGCAAAATGTTAAAGTAACACAGGTTTTAATACCTGTGTTTTAGTGAAATATGAACACAATCCACATGTCTCTGGATAAAATAGTACAATAATCCACATTTATAACAGGTAGGAAAATTCATATTTGAATAAAATATTCAAATGGTTAAAATATGAGAGTGTGTACTAAATACACACATGTATTTGCATGTTTTTCTCCTGGAGTCATTATCTAATCGATTTATTTCCACTCATCTCAGTGTTCCTGTGCTTGAGTTTTTGACAATCCTCCTCATTAATAGGGAATATTTATATCATTAACAGAGAATATTTATATAGCATATATAAATTTTTATATGTTTCAATAAATATATTTATATCTATCTTTGTAGGTCTCTGCCATGAGAAATTGTCACTCAGTGAGAAATCTCTGTCCATAGTATCCTGGTTTTTTGCTAACTGTGTGTTTTCTCTTTGCCTTGAGCAGTGAATGACCTTCTCTGTCCCACAAACCTCAGTGTTGTCGCTGTGAACATGAACTTCCACCTGCAGTGGAGTAACCAGTACAAACAACACGTCAGCTACGACGTCCAGTACCTCATGTGAGTCCAACCATTTCCACCTCTCTGGTCAAAAAGTCACCTTCCATGCCATTTTTTGTCTTTTCCCAACTATTCCCTAGAAGGTGAAGTGAAATAATTAGTGGTTTAGTGTGTTAATTGGAACATCGGGTGTGAAATTTCGGATTCCATAGAACATCACGTCCTGGAATTTGAGGGGACTGAGCTGATTTTAGGACTGTTAAATACCGGATGGAAGTGACTCCTAAATCACAGTATCATGGAATCAATCAGGTTGGAAAAGACCTCCAAGATCATCAAGTCCAACCCTATGTGGTTACTGGACCATGGCACTAAATGCCACATTCAGTCTCAGCTTGAAAACCTCCAGGGATGGTGAATCCACCACTTCCCTGGGCAGCATATTCCAATGCCTGATCACTCTCTCCATAAAAAATCCCTTGCTAATATCCAACCTAAACCATGTCTGCTGGAAATTGAATACAGCAAAGGCTGTCTAAGAGGTTCCTCGAGTGCATGGAGGATAATTTCCTACCTCAGCTGGGAGATGAGCCTACCAGGGCTGGGGCCCTGCTAGAGCTGCTGCTCTCAGACAGAGAGGGGCTGGGGGGAGATGTGGTGGTTGGAGATCATTTGGGACACAGTGTTTGCTTCTTTCTCAGACCTCAAGAATCTCACAGTAAACCCTACTGTAATCTCTCTTTCAGGGGGTATCGAAAGCAATTTTATGATGACTCTTCAAGGAAGTGGTCCAGTGTCCCCGGGTGTGAGAACATCACCCACACACGATGCAGTATCTCCTCTGTCATCACTAACTCTGGATTTTATTACCTCCGTGTGGAGGCCAAGGGTGACCACAACAAATCCTGTCTGTCCTCTGAAGTCAAAGTAGATCCTCTGAAAACAAGTAAGGAAATGTGTGTTCTTGCTTTGTCATTTCTCAGCAAACTTGGACCTGATGCCATTATTAGCTGCAGAGGGACTTGGGACAAGGGCTGGAGGGACAGGACACAGGGAGTGGCTTCCCACTGCCAGAGGGCAGGGACAGGTGGAGATTGGGCAGGAATTGCTCCCTGTGAGGTGCTGAGGCACTGGCACAGGTTGCCCAGAGCAGCTGTGGCTGCTCCATCCCTGGGAGTGTTCCAGGCCAGGCTGGATGGGGCTTGGAGCAGCCTGGGCTGGTGGGAGGTGTCCCTGCCCAGGGCAGGGTGGGATGGGATGAGCTTTAACATCATTCAGACCCAAACAGAATCATAGAATGAATGATGTTGGAAAAGGCCTCCAAGCCTACCAAGTCCAACCTGGGACCCATCACACCTTGTCAGCTAGCCCAGAGCTCTGAGGGCCATGTCCTGAAGCTCCTTGAACATCTCCAGGGATGGTGACTCCATCACCTCCCTGGGCAATGGGGAAATTCCTCCTGATGGCCAACCTGACCCTCCCCTGGCACAGCCAAAGGTGTTTCCTCTTGTCCTGTTCCTGTTCCCTGGGAGCAGAGCCTGAGCCCACCTGGCTGCACCTCCTGGCAGGAGCTGCAGAGAGCAATGAGTTTCCCCTGAGTCACATCAACACACAACCCTGAAGAGCTTCATTAAAAACCAAATTAACTGATAGTGACATCAAGGTGAAAAATCTCTCTCAAAAAACTCTCCCCAGAGGGAAATTGTAGTGGATTTTATCTTTGTGGCACTTTTTTTTTTTTTTTTGGTGGGAATTGTGACCTTACTAAAATGTTTGACTTCAAAACAGGAATGAAAAATGTCAAGAAATGTTTCTATAATATATAGGGAATATATAGGGAATATTCCATTGCCTGAGGATGGAACCAATCGTTATTCTATACATCAGCTTTCTCTTGGCCAAGCTCTTGGCAAGTAATGATAATGATCGTGGTAATAATGATCATAATAAATTATATTAAATCAAATTTTATAATGTATAATAAATTAAAATAAAAATATGTAATGAAACAATCATCAATAGAAGTAATTATTTCATAAGATAACAGTGAAAACATCAAAAATATGAATGCAAATTGCTGGATTTGAGTTTGACTAAAGCTTTAAAGTTAGAATTGTAAGCAAATGTTTCTTGAAAAAGTGATGGATTTACATGACATTATGTTATGCAATATTTGGTTTTGGATTTTTTCTGTCACACTTTTAACTTTGTACTCTTTGTTTTTCTGTCTGCAGATGAAATTGGCCCTCCTGGTGTAAAGCTGGACATCAGTGAGGTTTTGCTCCACATCCAGATTTCTCCTCCAGGAGGTCCTGAGCGTAAAGATATGAGGGACCAATATGACTTGTCTTACAGGATCTTCTACTGGAAGAATTCATCCAGTGATGAGGTGAGAACTAGTTTAAATACTTCAGACAGCACATAAAATCTGTTCTGACCTAAGTCCTGAGTGTGAGTTCACCTCAAGAAGCTGCTTCTCCAGAGAGGCACAGATTTGGTGGAACAACCATGCAGGAAATTCCTTGTTTTGGTCTGGTCAAGGCGGTTCTACCAGACAGTGATTGAGATTTGAGTCTGTTGTAGGATAACAGACGGTTTGGGTTGAGAGAGACCTCAAAGCTCATCCCATCCCACCCCTGCCCTGGGCAGGGACACCTCCCACCAGCCCAGGCTGCTCCAAGCCCCATCCAGCCTGGCCTGGAACACTCCCAGGGATGGAGCAGCCACAGCTGCTCTGGGCAACCTGTGCCAGTGCCTCAGCACCTCACAGGGAGCAATTCCTGCCCAATATCCTAATTTTATAGCATATGTATCCCAAAACAATGAGTCCTACATGCTTTTACCTCACATTTGGTTGGATCTTTCTATATTTTTTAGTTACTTCTAATAGTGAAATATTTTACAGCCATTGGTTAATGGGCAGGAGAAGGAAACAAACAGCAACAGGAGGAAATTTCATGTTCCACACCCCTTGAAACTGTGAAATGGTGCAAACTGTGAATGGTGAAAGCAGTTGGATCTTGCCAACAAGTGTCTCCTGAATTTTGCTTAGGGGATAATTTGGTTTCTTTCATTTTATTTAATCCAAGTCCTCAGGGAGGTTGTGAAATCACTATCTCTGGGAGTGTCCCAGAGGCATCTGGATGTGGCCCTTGGGGACATGGTTTAGGGGTGAGGATAGTGGTGGTGGTGGGACTGGATGAGCTTGAAGGACTCTTCCAGGCTTGGTGATTCTGCGTTCTTGTATTGCATGAATATTTTATGCCTTTTTGAAGTAAGAGCATCCGAGATCCTGGAACAGCATCACCTTTGATGACCACCATGGCAGGACATAGCCATGAGCTGGAAGGTCTCTTCCAGCCCTGATAATTCTGGGATTGCAGTTGTCTAACACTTGACAGAATTACCTCTTCAGCAGAGGCCAAAATCTCACCTGCCTGAGTGATTCTTGTGCTGTTCATGTGCATCTTATCCTTCCATTTGTTTCTTTTCCAGGAGGAAGTGAAGATGAAGGAGATCAAACAGACCATAGGGACAGTCTCTGACCTGTCACCTGCCACCTTGTACTGTGTCAAAGTCCAGGCCTTCTCAGAGGCTTACAACAAGAGCAGTCAGTACAGCCAAGAGCAATGCATCCAGACTCCTGGAGGTAGGAAGAACCTGGGAATTGCTACACCTCTGGAAGGAGAATTGCTCACCCTTCATAGGCCTTTGCATGTGTCACCAGTTAAAAGCTATGGGCAGGGAACACCACGTTGAGCAGAAAGTTTTAACGTCCACTGCATCTAAGATACTTCTAGGAGGGTGGAAGGAGTCAGTAAATTCATGTTTTCAGGGATGTTTTAGTCTTGGAATTGTCTTAGTTCTTCTGTGAGGAAACTAAGCTTTAAAGAATGCAGTGCTGAAGTGTGAGGAGACAAATCATCAGCTCCTTAGAGCTGGAAGCTCACCCTGGTGCAAAAGAAGAGTGGATGGATTACACTCAGAACAGAGGAGCAAGTTTTCTGCTGAAGCTAATTGGCCAAATTAAGTTTTATTAATAATCCAGCAGTGAGGAGCAAGACTTGGGAGTGACAGGGTATGAGAAGCTCACCATGAGCTGCAGTGTGAGCTCAGCCTATAAACCAATGGAATCCTGGGCTGCATCCACAGGAGTGTGGGCAGCAGGTCAAGGGAGGTGATTCTCCCCCTCTGCTCTGCTGAGACCCACCTGGAATACTGCACACAGTTCTGGTGCCCTCAGCATAAGAAGGACATGGAACTGTTGGAGCAAGTCCAGAGGAGGCCATGAAATTGCTAAGAGGACTGGAGCATCTCCCCTATGAGGATAGGCTGAGGGAGTTGGGGCTGTTCAGCCTGGAGAAGAGAAGGTTGTGTGGAGACCTCAGAGCAACTTTTTAATCTCTGAAGGGGCTGCAGGGAGCTGGAGAGGGACTCTGTGTTGGGAACTGCAGGGACAGGACAAGGGGTAATGGGTTCAAACTGAAGGAGGGGAAGTTTAGGTTAGACCTTAGGCAGACGTTTTCTGAGACACTGTCCCAGGTTGCCCAGGGAGGCTGTGGCTGCCCCAACCCTGGCACTGTTCACAGCCAGGTTGGCTGAAACCTTGAGCAACCTGCTCTGGTGGGAGGTGTCCCTGCCCAGGGCAGGGGTTGGGGCTGGATGGTCTGTAAGGTCCATTCCAACCCTTAAATTCTATAATTCTATGATTTAACGCTAGAAAAATTGCTAAGCAGCCAAACTGCCTCTGAGCTCAGAAAGTGGAGTAAGAGCAACACAACTTCCTCACACCTTGAGCTTTCAGGGGCCATTTATATTGTGCTCCTCACTGCTTTATCAAGGCTGAAAGGAAACAAATGGCACTTTTTACCTTCATAAAACTTACTATTTTACTAGCTATTAGTCTTCCCCATATCCTATTGTAATGAGTCAACTTCGGCCCCAGCAGGACACTGAGGACAGATTATGCTTTGACCTTTCCACATGTTCTTACATCCCAGTGTGGAAGTCTTTCCTGCTTTGATCACAAAGTAAAGGGACCTGGTTGTCTCATTTTGATAATTTGTAAAGTTTCTCCTGGTATCTATGAATTTTAGCCTGTTTAAACTCCCTTCAGTTTGGCTGTTAGAGACAATCATAGAAGGTTTGGATTGGAAGGACCTCCTCCAGGGCCCTCAGGATAGTGTCCCTTGCCTCAAGCTGATCAACTGCAGCACTCAACTTGGCATCACCAAGATTAGATAGTCAGGATAGACAGTAGATAATTTGTTTTCCCTGCCAGAGTGTTCAGGCCTTGGGATGAGCTGCCCAGGGAGGTGGTGGAGTCACTGTCTCTGGGAGTGTCCCAGAGGTATCTGGATGTGGCCCTTGGGGACATGGTTTGGGGATGATTCTGGTGGTGCTGGTAGGACTGGATGAGCTTGAAGGTCTTTTCCAGCCTTGGTGATTCTATGATCTTGTATTGACTAAGTATTTTGTGCCTTTTTGAAGTAAATTCATCCAAGATCCTGGAACAGCACCGGGTTTAATGGTGACCATGGGTGGGGGTGGCACTGTGAACACGCAGACCCACTGTGATGGATTCTGTGGCAGACCTGGAGCTAAGCTCTTCTTTAATCTCTGTTGGGTGTCACCACCTGGACTGAATCTTCTCTGTTCTCCAGACAAAACTTTACCTCTGGTCATTCTAGCAACATTCGTGACTGCCCTCGTTGCTGTTCTCCTGGTGGCTCTGCCATTTGTCTTTATCCTCTATCAAGCCTACAGCAAGATCAAGTACATCTTCTTCCCTTCATGCCAACCTCCTCTGAACATTGAGGTAAGCTGACTCTGATTCCTCACTCATGAAACAGCTTGTTTTTAGGGAAATGAACTGGAAATGCTCTGAAAACATGTTTCTCTCTTACCCTGTCTCATGGGTACCTTGTAACCTTGTAGAGGTTTAACAATGGTCTCCAGAAAGGCACATCCTGTCCAATTTCTGGTGTGGTTGGCACAGGAGGTACTAAGAATGGATCCTGTTCTGGAATGAACCTGGCAACACCTAAGTGTGTCTTGAAATGTCTAGATTAGGATTTTCCTCCAGGTCTTGTGTGATCTCCTGAGGTTCTAATCCATGGAATATTGCAATTCCAGAGGTGATGGACAACTATGAGCAGAGCAGAGGGTTAAGAACAATCCTAGACTCATTCTTTAGTGTTTGATGATATGACTCTGACTAGCAGGTGAGGGTTGGGCTGTACTCCCAGGGAACAAGGGGCAGGACAAGGGAAACACCTCAAGCTGTGCCAGAGGAGGTTCAGGTTGGCCATCAGGAGGAATTTCCCCATGGAAAGGGCTGTCAAGCACTGGGATGTGCTGCCCAGGGAGGTGGTGGAGTCATCATCCCTGGAGGTGTCCAAGGTGCTCAGGACCTGACACTCAGAGCTCTGGGCTAGCTGAGAAGTGCTGATGGATCACAGGTTAGACTTGGTGGGCTTGGAGGCCTTTTCCAACCTCATTCTGTGAACTTCATCCTAATTTTGAGTTGCTGAACTCACTTCATCTCTTCCTTCTCTGTTCCTTTTCCACAGAGGTTTGAAGAACAACCCTTCAGCCATCCTTACCTGACAGTTGCAGAGGAACAAGTAGAGAACTGTTCTGTAATTGAGACCGTGATCACAGAAGGAACTCAGATTGACTTCAGAGACTACAAACATTCCAAACAGAGCAGTCGAGACTCAGGCAATTACTCCAATGATGACAACACCTCAGGAAGCAAAGGGTCAGGAGAAATCCTAGGAAAGGGAATAGTATAACTTCTAGGAGAATAAAAGTCATCTGTTACTCTGCCAGTGTGAGAAACATGCCAGACTTCTGTTTTATGGAGGTCACAGCCTGAGGAGGACACTGTGACTTGTGACTTTGCTTCTTGGAAGTCACATCCCGACTGCAGTTGGAACCCAGTCAACTCATCCTGCCTTAGGCTGCTTTGACTGATGTGTCATCACGTGGTTTCAAGTTTACCTTCTGCATCAAGAGGAGCAGATTTGGACACTTGCTATACTTGAAGCTGATGACCTCAGCAGAGCCTGCCCTGGTGCACCAGAAGAGTTTCTCTCTCCGAGTTTGATGTTGAGCACCAACACATGCTATGCCAGACATCAGTCCTGGCTTGGACCCTCAGTGTTTACACAGGAGAAGGAAATCCATGCTGGATACAATTTTAAGGACTTGTTGGACATTCTCTTCCAGCCCCTCAGGGGCACTGCCTATTGATTCAGCAGGTCCAGAGCAAAAGGTGCCAAAGGCCAACAGTAGTGCCAGTGAAGTGGTTCCTGTGGAATTCCTCATGGCTGTGGGATGCTCCCAGTGCCCACCTGTTGTTCCTGACCCATCCCTGGGAGTGTTCTAGGCCAGGCTGGATGGGGTTTGGAGCAGCCTGGGCTGGTGGCAGGTGTCCCTGCCCAGGGCAGGGAGCGAGGTGAAATGGTTTCAAGGTCCTTCCAACCCAAATCACTCTGAGTCCACAATTCTATCCCTGCCCATGCATCAGGGCATGCTTCTCCCACAGCACAGTCATCCAGGCATGGATAGGAATGGGAAGAGGCAGAAAGGGGCTTCACTGGGATCTAAAGGGAAAATTCCATAGTGGAATGACTCTCTATGTGTGTAGAAATTGGGTCAAATTGGTTTGCACTGCATTGAGGATGAAAGAAACCTCAAACATCTAAGTCTGATGTGCACTGGAGGAAAGCACAAACTCTGTTCCTGCAGAGCAAAGGGCAGGAGAGGACAAGGCAGGAGAGCACAAGGCACCAACCAGGGACAGTCTGGAAGAGTTTTTTCCCTGTTGCGACATAACCAGAAGTCCAAAATAGTTACTCCTCATTGAATTGGACTTAGAAACACTAATCTCCTCAAAAGGCTAAAACTGCTGTCTGTATTGAGAAGGACTCAAGGTGAGCTTTGGTCTCTCCTGCTATGGCTGCAGGGAGAGGACTAGAGGGAATGACCTTGAGCTGAGCCAGGGCAGAGTCAGATTGGATATGAGGAGAAATGTTTTCCCTGTGAGAGTGTTCAGCACTAGGATATTGCCCAGGGAGGTGGTGAAGTCACCAACCCTGGAGGTGTTTCAGGGGTGTCTGGATGTGACACAGGAGGATATGGTTTAGGGTTTAGGGATTCCAGCAGTGACAGGTTAATGGTTGGACTGGATGATCTTAAGAGTTCTCCTCCAACCCTGATGGTTCTGTGATTCTGTGAGTTTAGGAAATGCCTTTTAAGGGGAATGAGTTTGTACTCAGAGCTTTTCCAGCTCACTCTCCTTTTGCCAGGAGCCCTTGGACAGGCCATGAGGACATGCTGCAGTAGAGTTTCAGCCCCAAATTAGTACCTTGGAGACATTTTTGAAGTACCTTATCTTTTGATGAAGAAATTGCCTTAGGTCAAACTGAGTTTGAGCTTCCCGTGGGTCACTGGTTGTCCCAACAAGGTGTTTCTACTTCCTTTTGTTTCATTTTGAAGCCTTTTCTAATTTTATAATTTTATGTTCATTGGAGGGCAGAATAAATTTAGCACTTTTACTTCTTTAACCCTCTCTTGGTTCTGTGGATTTTTTGTTGCAGTTACATGGCAGATGCTCTGTGGATACTTGGGGAGATCCCATGAGACCTCAGCTGTCCTTCCTGAAGGATCTCAGGTATGATCAACTCTACACTGAATTAAGGCTCATGTTGGGAGTGTGGAATGACTCCCAACATGAATTTCTCTGAAATTCCATTTCCTCTGAAGGTTTCCCAGAGAAATTCCATTTCCTCTGAAGGTTTCCCTGGCAGATGTGAAGGCCAAGCAGAGCTTAGTGGGTGGTTCCCACATTTTTCTTGGGACTCTAGAAAGGAATCCAAAATCTGGGAATGATTTTCATAGAATCATAGAATTTAG